CTCCAGAATGTTATATTAAGTTAGCATACAGATGCACAGATGCTGATCCTGAAAAAAGACCAACAGCAAATGAAATTATTAAAATTATTTATTTTTGGAAAAATGCTATGAGATCATATCAGGGTGGATATTCTAAAGAACAGCTTGATGAATTAAGAAAGATGAAAAAAATATTTGAGGAAGCAGATAAAAAACCCTTTAATCCTTCAACAATTACAGCAACTATTCATCCAGATGCTGTTTATACAAGTAGGTTATTGAATTTTACAAATCTTCCTCAGCCTGTAAACTCCAATAAAGTTACAATTATTAGCAACAATGATGGTAATTATCAATTATTTGATTATTAATCTTAAAATTCAATATTGGCATTAATATTATTTTTAAATAATCATTTTATAGAATCTAATCAAATTGATTTAGATAGTATTAATAATGGTAATTATTTGATTATTGATTTAAATTCAATATCAATATCAATATTAATTAAATTAATCATATTTATAGATTTTAATCAAATGAATTTGAATGGTAATTATCATTATTTATTTATTAGTTTTAAAATTAAATATCAATTTCAACATTAATATTATTTTTATTATGTGATAAATTATTATATTATAGATTCTAATCAAATGGATTTAGATATTTAAATTTATGAATAAATTTTATTCATCTGATTGTTGGAATTTTGCATTAGGCTTTTTATTATAAGGAAGTGTACAAAAACTTATTATTATTATCATTTTTTTTAAAATATTAGATACTTTATATTTGTCTAAATCCTTCCTTGCAATTGAAGTGACCTATTACCATGCCTATTATTATTGTAATTATTATTATTATTGTAATTATTATTATTATTATTAGTATTTTTATATTCAAACATTTATATATATTTACCTCAGATAAATTTGAATTAACCTTTGAGCTACACTCATTGATTAATTGCAAGCTTTTATATTCCATACTCATCAATTAAGTTATTTTATGAATTTATCTAACAATTTTCTTGCTTACTGCCTCCTTTTTATACTTGGAAGACTTTGACAATCTGTGAGTGCACTTTATGGTACAATTTATGTATATTGGCAAAAGTTTCTTTGACTACTTAAAGCTTTATTAATTTGGTCTCTTTACAAGACTCCTTAAACTGTTCATTTAACAGCTGTATGTTAACAACAATTATATTAACACAAATAAAAAATGTGTTAAGGACTTTGGTTAATAAATTTCTGCACTTTACATTGGTTAATTATTACATCAGGAAATTTTTTCTAACATGGATTTACATGATTATTACACTATTTATGTAAGTTTACAGTGGGCCCCATAATATTATGCAATTATTACATTGAGTGTAAATATTACATAATTTTTTATGCAAATATTACAAATTTAGATATTAAAATTTATGGACAGTGGGAAAATTTCCCAATGAAGTTCTATACCACTCTGATAACTAAGGACAATTAACCCACTGTTAATTTCTGACTACAAAAGTGTTCTATTAAGCAAAAAAAATAATAATTTGTAAAGAAATAATTTAATATTTCTGCCTTTACTCTTATGAGCAAAGCTCTGAAATATTAAAACAATTATTTCATTACTAGTTAATGTTAATTGATTAACCAGTTGTCTTTTCACTTGGTCAAAAAGTGAACTTATTTTATCTTTCCTTTTCACTGATTTCTTTAATAAACAAGAGGAATGCCATGAAACTTTTTTTTTATAGTGCAAGTGTATAATTTCAAACATAGCTCAAGAGGTATCTGATAAATATATATGGTTGGCTCGGTCTAAAGACCTCCTAATGCTGCGCCATGCGGCCAAATTTCATAAATAGCAATTTTGTAATTCAGTCAGGGATATTTCCATATCGGGATTCGATTCCAGAATGATCTACGCAATTTTAATAGGCTCTTGTGCATTCATTTCCGTTGTAAAAACTTCATGTTTCATGTGACTTTACACAAAAAAATTTTGTTGTAATTTTAAACCATATCATAAAAATAAACAAACAAACATTCATATTTTAATAATCACCAAAGAGTTTAAAATAATCACCCAGACTTCAAAAAGTAAATGAGAGCTAAAAAGAGGAAAATCTTGTAATTTTTTACAAAAATTCTTATTAATATTAATAATTTAAAAAGTACTACGAGAGGAATAGATAGTATAAAGCTTTCAGTTTCAGATTAACTATTAACTAAGGTCCTCAGTAAGCTGGATCTCAAATATATTAGTTTAAAAAAAGAATGTTTTCGTTGATTAACTTTAAAAAAGAGTAATTTCGTTAATTAATTTCTTATTAATAGTAACATAGGAATATATAGAGTAAAAATACTTCTAGTCTGGACAGTTACCTATCAATGAATATGTAATTTCGCTTTACATGTAAGAATTATTCAAAATAATATTTATATATATATATATATATATTAAATTTATTAAATTTATACATATATTAAATTATTAAATTTATATATTTATTGTTTTATGAATTATTAGAGTTTATATTTAATGGGCAAGGTGAAATGGAAAAAATCTATGAGATCATGTCTGAGTTTCTATGATGATGGTGCATTTATTTAATGTTTATACTATTACAAAAATACAATTTCTTCCAATATGCATAACAACAATTTCCATGAATATTAATATGTATTTACGCTTTACTCTCAAGTCAGGTATGTCTTCACTAAACCAAATTTATTAAATATTACCTCATTAAAAGAAAAAATAGAGACAAATATAAAATAAGAGGAAATTATTATGCATAGAACTATCATGAATTCATTGTTTGAGATAGGTTTATTATCATTACGAAAATATATAATTCAAAGACAAGGTCAAGGTCAGTTTTTATTTATTTATTATTTTATTAATTATTAACTAACTATTCTAACTATTATGAGTTTTTCCAACTACTTTTTTAAGTTAAGGAAATTATAATGTTATTATACATGTTAAAGATTCAATTATCTAGCTCTCCAATTTCTTAAATGTAAATTAAAGATAAACAACCTTTCTTTTGAGAATAATTAATGAATGATTTGAATTCAGAATTAAAGAAATATTACAATTTAAAATGTTAGGAATAATATTTCTTGGTAATTTCTGCAAGTTAATTATTTTATGGAAATTATATGACCAATCAATAAAGCTTTCGCCATGTTTTTCTTGTTTTCTTTTTCATTAAAGATTATTTAACGAAAAGATCTGCACGGAATTTAGCCAATCAAAATTTCTTTTCATAACGTCGATCATTACAGGGTATTATCCCTGGTTGAATTTAACCAATCAGAATTTCTTCTAGAATTTTTCATACAATCGATCATTACGGTATTTAGTATTTCCATCTATGGAAATATCCCTGACTGCATTAGCAGTGTTGAAATTTCGTTGTGTAACTATTACAAATTTAGAAACTATATATATATATATATATATTCAAAAATTAAAATTTTGATTGGTGTGTAATGTTACTCCTCACATTCCCCACACTGGATTTTCAACACTAATCATTAGCCAATCAAATCAAATTTCACGTGATATCTTGGTGACAATTTTTAACCAATCAAATATGATCGACGAAAATGTCCACTATGCTACACAAATTTGATGTAATTATCCAATTATTCAGTAAACAATATCAAATATGTATAAATACGGCTTTGATTTTAAAAAAATTCAAAAAAAAAAATATATATTATTATATTATATATTTATTGTAAATATACATAAATGAATATTAATACGAAAAAAACAAATCATTTATTGATTTTAAGATTATTTCAAATTTTATTCTCAATTATAGCATTTGGATTAGGTAAATAACTGATATCAATAACTGATAATTGATATAATGGATATTAATTTTCTTATTTCCACACAGAAATAACGCAAATAGTGTTTTGGGTATTATTACATAAGTCAGTTATTGTTACATATTATACTACTTATTATTATAATAAAATTCGATAGTAAGTTCCTTTTTTATTATTTCAATCTCTCAAATTACATATTTAATTACTGTTTTTTTATTTATTTTTTGTTCTATTCATTAACCATGTTAATAGTTATTATGCAGTGAAATGGCTTTATTTTACAGTTGTCATTACGTCTGTGCTGATCATAGGTAAATTAATTAAATAATGACAATGATGATGATAATGGTTAATGATTATTATGATTTAATGACGATAATAATTAATTAATGATTATTTTTTATTATTAGGATATTTTATTATATTTTATAAGAAAAGATTAAAAAGTGGTCCATATAAAAAAGATTATTTTATTGACAGGTAAACAGTTTATTTAATTAGAGATTTCTTGTTTTTAGTCAAAGCATTTAATTAATTCATTAATTAATCAATGATTCAATTTTTTTCTAAAAATTATAATCATCTAGTGGACTATTCGTTGTATGGATACTTACAAGTATGTCTTGCTTTTTTGTTTTTTCGAAAAATCACAAATTAAATTGCAATTAAATTAATTCACTTGTATATTTTTTTTTTCAATCAATTAAAGGTATCAATTATAAATCAACAACTTATCAGAAATTAACAGCACTTCCAATACAATGCGCAGAAATCAGCTCAGTTCCTACTGAATATTCAATCTTATGTTACATGTACACCATATGTATGATTCTAAATTTCTTCATAGCTGCTAGTTACATATTATCATTCGTAATTTCTTTTCATTTATACCACTATCATCATCAATGCCATGATCAAGCTTACAAAGCAATAAAGAATAACAGAGAAGAAGATGATAAAATTTTTTGAAAAAATCATTTTATTTGAGTTTTGATTTTTAATTATTAATATGTATAATATAATATATGATTGACATCATTATGTGATTATTACAGATAATAAATATACTATTTAAACTAGAAAAAATAAAATTATTCCATATAATTTTTGAATTCTTATAGTAAATAAGATATGGATGTTTATTCGGATCAACCTCTCCAACCACTGATACCAATACTAGTAATTCATTTCAATCACAAGAAGAACATAAATTAAAAATGGCAAAACAAGAACAAGAACACAGCAACAAAAAGGACAACAACGATGGCAACATTGCCACAATAATTATCAACAAGGACATCATAATTATCGACAGCAACATCAACAAGGACAATATTCATCAGCTCAACAACAATCTCAATCAACACATTCTCCAGCCTATTAACTTTCCTTCAAATTCATCATCACCATATCCTTATAACTCAGTAACTTTGCCACAGCAACAACCACCTTCATTCAACCAAAATATCAATAAAAAAGATTATAGTTTATAATCATTTCAAAAGTATTTATCATTTTTTTCTTAAATTGCTTAATTTTATTATGGTCATTCATAATAATAAATAAAAATATATTTAATTAGATCAAAAAACAATGATAAACAAATTAAATAACTCAGAAGAGCCATATGGTAATTATTATAATCATAATAATAATAAGGAATTTCTCATATATCACATTAATAATTTTAACTTTTAATCAAGGAATGCAAATTGCTGATGGCAAAATGAAAATGAGTTCTGGTTTACTTAAATTTGAAACTATTTCAGATTTAGGAATTTATAACACATCTTCTATAAACCAAGGAATTGTAAAAATTAAAAATTGAATTCCAAATTATAAATTCCATAGATGTTTATTATTGGTGATGAAGTTTATGATGATAAAATTTTTCTGATAATAAAGTTTTTCTTCTATATTTTGAATCAAATTTCCACATTACCATCAACAATCCACGAAACAAAAAAAATGTCAAATGTAAATGTTCCACTACATAAAAAACTTGCAAACAATCCTAATATATTTCCAATAACCCTTTGCAATAATTTGGAAATAGTGATGCTAAAAAATTTTTGAATAATAGCCTAATTCTTTAAAACTTTCATTAAATATTTGATGCCACCTAAATTCAAAGTCAAATAGATATTATAAATAATTTAAAAAGATTTAGAGTTAGAAGTTATATCTATGCATGTGCATGTGTATGTATGTATACGTACCCTTCACTCCATAAATCTTTTGGGTTTGATGATAATCATGCTTTATTAAATAATGGCTCTGATTCAAATAATGTCCTCCTCAACCAATTCCTAATCCTTGCTATTATTGTTGTTGTTTTTAATAGAAATCATTGAAGAGATACAGAGAAAAGAATATTTGCAATATTATTATTATTGGTATTATTAGTAGCATTTAATAATAATAACAATTTATTTGTGATTGGTGATGAAATATTTTCCATGAACCTGCTGATATTAAGAGAAGTTGTTCATAAATAGAATTCATATTAATATATAGAAATATACTATATAATAATATTGTTGATTAAGTAACAAATGATGCAGATGCTGATAATGATATGTGATCTAATGTTTGATCCATTAGGAGCAGTTGTGATGGTGGTGATGATGATGCCAATTTAATGATGCAGTTATATAGTCCATTATTCTCAGAACATATGGTCTATCAGATATTGAGATGGTGAATGATTCCATGAATATTAAGCAGACCTCTCAAATTTGAAACATTTCAAGAAGGCTAAATAATCTTGACAATAAATATGATTTAAGATTTATTTGTTCCTTTTTTTAATTGAGTCAGTAAAGTTGGTAGAGTTGATGATTTTATCATTAGTGCAACTCAAATTATCTTAGTGAAATAGTGCCCATATGAAAGGTTTGAAATCTTTTTCTATTTCTTTTTGTGTTCTTTTTATTCTAGTTTCTGTTGATTTTTTCAATCATGACAACATTTTGAATGTTAAAGATGCTATTATAACAGGAATTGACAAATGATTTTTACATGAAAGCTTGTTGCAACAATTAAAGATAACAAGTAAATTGATAAAATCACCAATATTAATTAATATTAACATTATTATATATGTAGAAAATGTAAACTTTTTTGTTATTATTAACAAGTTTCCAAAAAAAATAAATCTAATCATCATTTTTTTTAATATACAGGTGTTAGCAGAAAGGATCTACATGTAAGTCTATTACTATTATAGATTCATGGAAAGTACAAAATAAAGATAGTAATAGTCTATACTAACTTTTCGTCTTTCTTAATTTTATATATTCATTTAGTAATAATAATAATAATAAAAATAATAATGATATATAATTTTTTTTGTTCGCATAAATATTTTGTGAACACGAAAATTTATATTATCATCAAGTGAAAGAGATCTAATGCTCGATATTTCAGGCTTAAATTTTTTCATTTCAAATTAAATAATCGTAGAAAAAATTTTTATTTGGTTTTCATTTCATTTCATTGCCTCTCTTTGAAATCAGCATAGAATTTTTCTATATTTTCAACATCATCTTTGCTACCCAAGAAAAATAGGACATCCGGAATGAATAGATTCCAGTACAATATCAAGCACTCGTTTCCTACCATCTGTAACTTGCCACTCACCATTTTGTTCAGCCAAAAAGACAATTCATACAAGATACGAAGCTTGCCATTTTTTGATTTTTTGTCACCTGGATATGCGGATATTTCACTGTATAACAGAATTGAACCAATGTAACGAGTTGAATAAGGATTTTTACCGAGAATCGAAATGTTTCTTACATGGTTCATATCAATATTTTTCATTTCCCTCACTTATTGAACATATCTTTCCACGAGATGGAATTATGATCTGTGTTAGTTGAGCGAGAGTGATCGAGGAAATAAATAAATCAACTAACTATAATAATTGGATGGATAGATTAATTAGATGTATTAATGTTTACATTAGGATGAGTAAGAATAAATTTTCCAATTGCCTAAAAAGATAAAAAAAATAAAATCATATGTAATTGTCAACAAAATTAATGATTATTAATTAATTGTCCTTACGTCAAATAGTTACTACCAGCGTCGGATCAAATACCGTCAACAATGATTGAATATTCGTCCTTCCGAAACCATTTACAGCAAACTTTACCAGATGAAAAAAATGTATCAACAAAATCTCATTGGAAATCACATCCCTATTTTTTTTTGTTCTTTACCTGAAATATTTGTTGAATCACCTGCAAGTCCAATTCTGAATTATTTGGGAAGGGAAAAGAAGGTAATTCTTTGGTTTCAATTCATAAATTACATATGATATATATATATCAATTATTGACAATTATTATTATTAATTACTATTAATTGCTGTTATTTATTACTTACAAATTCAAAAGTCTAGCTTTTCTAACCTTATTAGCTACAAATCTACAACCAAGTTGAATTGCATTTAACAATGTTGTCAAATCGCCACCTGTATCTTTATGTTTATGTTGTTCATCAAGAACATGTCTTGTCAATGTGATAATATCAGTTGTAACCTTTACTTCGGCTGAACTATTTATTTTATATTTACTTGATTTGTTTGTATTGCAAACACATGCACGATTATTTCCTCCATATTTATTTAAAAAAAAAAAATGTCTCAACAAGTAAAAAAAAGCGCGGATTCTCCAGATAGCAATAATAATAATCATGATAAAAAACAACGTTTCAGAATCTGAAGGACCAATAGCATCAACAGTGGTGGTAAAAAATGGAGTTTATAAGAGTGAACAAATCGAAGATCGTAAAAGTGTATTTATAGCATATGCAAAACGCGTAGAAAATAAGCAACAAGTCGAACTGTTTAAGGATGAAATGGAAAGAGAAAATAATACTGCAACACATAACATCATAGCATATAGAATAATGAAAGACAATGATGGAGCAACAATTGAAGGTTAATAATAATTTTTTTTTGTTGGGAATTAGAGAACTTTGTGTGCATAGCGCATAAAGAAAAATAATAATTATAAAGTATAAATTTTTATTTTTATTTTTATTTTAGAATTTATTGATGATGGTGAAAAATATGCAGGAAACCGAGTTTTAAATTTATTAAAATCATTGGATGTTAAAAATGTGGTAATTATAGTTTCTAGATGGTATGGAGGAGTTATGCTTGGTCCGGCACGTTTTGATCATATCGAGAAATGTGCGAGAGAAGTATTAGATAAAGGTAATTTTGTAACTGGTAAACGAACTACTCCTGTTAGGGGTGGTTCATCAACTGGTAAGATAATCGTTAATGGATGTCAGGTAAATGTCTCGATTAATGATCTTTATAATTTTTAGAAAAAAAAAAAAAAATAATCTTTTTGCAAAAAAAATTATTAATATTGAAGAGAGGTAATCCAATACTTCAACATATTTGTAATGTTACTTGGGAATATGGTGAATGTATACCAGATTATGTTCTAGGACAAACAACGTGTGCTTTATTTCTAAGGTGAGATATAACATCAATTGATAATCATAATGATGACAATGATGATTATTATTAATACAATAATATTAATATTACTGTTGTTTTTTAGCCTTAGATATCATCGACTTCATCCTGAATATATTTATAATAGAATTCAACAATTAAAATACAAATATCTATTAAGAATACTTTTGGTTTTAGTTGATATAGTATAGTATTATTATTTCATTTCACTAATTAATTCATTCATTGGTTTTAGAGAGAGTTGGGGCTTGCTAGGAAATTGGCAACCAAAATGAGATTTTTTTTGCTTAATGTTATTATATTTTTTGTCCTGCTAAATTTTCTTTTCTTTTTTTTTATATGATGTAAATAGGATTCTCATCAAGATTCTATTCGTGAACTTAGCAAAGTTTGTGTAATTAATAATTTTACTGTGATATTAGCTTGGAGGTAAAAAATTGAAATTAATTAATTATGAATGATTGATCTTGGATTAAATAAAAATAAATTTATTTTTTTTCCAAAAAAATTAACAATTTAAAAAGTCAAGAAGAAGCAGGAAGATACCTCGAAACTTATAAATCATTTGAGTATAAGCCACCAGATATGATTATGGAAAAAGTTCAAGATGATTATTTGTCAAGGGTAATTATATCTAATGTTAATACAGTTGGTATTAATATATTATTTAATATTAATTTATTGTTAATTTATTATTGATAGTTAACTCATTCCATGACGCAAATAAAATCAGTTAATAAAACAGATGTGATAACACTTGCTTCATCAGCACGTGTAAGGATTTTTCTTTTTTTTATAAAAAGTTAAAATATAAATACTATTTGATTTTTATATTAATGAATGAATTAATTGGTTTGACGTTGGTGGTGGTAATCATAGTCATTGAAAAGGTTGATGTCAATGCCATCTGATGAAATTGGATTGTGTCCAGGAATTGGTGAACAAAAGGTAATAATAAATTAACTGGCAAAATGAGGAAGGAATTAATATATTTATTTTACTTTATTTATATATTTTTTTATTTTTAGGTCAAAAGAATTTTTGAGACATTTAATGAACCATTTTCACTAAGTAAAAAGAAGAAAAATTGAAATTTAATTGTACATTTATATATTAAATAATTAATTTAATTAGAAATATTTAATTTAAATTTAAACCAAAATCTTAAATGTTATCATATATAAATTATAATTTTCTTTTAATAACCATTGAAACCACTCGGATTTACCACCACATTTGGTGGTGATTTTAAACAGGTTGGCATTGGAAATGGATCGTAATTAAAAAGGAGGGCACAAATTACTATTCCACATACCGGTCTATATAATTTATGCAACCTCTCATTATATTAATTATCATAAGAAAATTAATTAATAACCAGAAATCCCATTTTAATTGAAAATAAAGCTACATTCACATTATGGGCTAAATGAAAGAGAATGGAAAAGTAAAAAGTGAGATACACATCTAAACTCGATAAGTCGGACAATTTATTTATATTAATAAAGTACTTTAAACAATTGATTGCTGCGTCCGACTTATCGAGTTTAGATGTGTACAACTAAATTGATTATAATTAATAAATTATAATTTAGTGTTATTAACTCCATTACATATTATTATTATTATTATTATTATTATTATATTTAAAAAAATATAATAGTATAACAGTTGATTTAATACAATTAAAAATCATCAATTATCTAGGTGTATATATATATATTATTTATTACATAATATTACTAATACACATTTCTTTTCCAAAAAAATATTAAAATTTTGGGGTGGGGTGTTTGGATATGAAATTCTGATTGGCTAATTTGAATTTCGCATGTGTAAATTACAATATTTCATTTTCACGCACAACAATTGTTACGCGACTATTATTATTATTATTTATTTTAACGTGCAGTTTTTTATCATTTTTTCTTTTCCAAAAATGTAGAAAGAATTGTTACATAAAAATAAATTTGGATGATCGACATAATATGGCCTACGTTTATTCGTAGTGTTAAGAATTAAAAAATGCGATCCATATTAAATAACATTCAGTAAATTAATTGTATAACAATGAAAATTGTGTTTTAATATTCTTCAAGTTATCAGCGATATATTATTATTATAATGATCAATCATTGGTTGAATAAGTATATTTATATGTTGAACCAGAATAAAAAATAATTTTTTTTTAATGTTAGATGAATTAAATGTTGAAGATGTTCATGAATCTGGAGTAGACGCTGATATCAATATCATAATAAATTGGAATCTTTTGGGCAATGTTGGGAACAATTTAATATTTTTGAAGATGATATTATCAGTGTTAGATCTTTGTGGATGAGAGATCACAAAATTGTAAATTGAAGATATATTGATTCTGATGCTGGTATTTTAAAATCAACCTTCAATGTTGATAATATTGCAAATGATACAAATGGAAAACTTCAAAATAATTTTAATGTTTTAATGAAATCAAGTAAATTAGAAATTCCTTATAGAATGAATAAAAGACAATTAAAACAAATTTCAACGTATATTTGATAAATATATTGTAATTCTGAATGGTAAAAAAGAATCACCACATACATTACCTGCATCTTTAAAATGATTTTGGTCATGAAAAAAAAAAATAGGCCCTAATTTAATGTTAAATGGTTGTTGAGTCGGTTTAAAAACCGTGCAGTCTGTCGATCATATACTTAAATGCGATTGGTCAATTTTTAACAACTGTGGTTGATAAATATGATTGGTTAATTTTAATAACCGCGATTTTAGTACAATCGATATAATTTATTAAATTAAAATTAAAACCCAGATTGATTGATTATCTATCATTTAAAATGATTCAATCGATGGTTCAACCATATTTGGCTTGGTTTAGCCGTTGAGTAAACTGTTTAAACATCCCTAAATTTAATATTTAATTAATTAATAAAACCCCCATTATTTTATGTGTAGATCAGTCGATAAACCATAATAATTTTCTTTAAATTTTATATTTATTGGCTGAAATTTTTTACGCGTGATAAATTTTAAAAACTCAATCTTTTATGTTGTGAAACATACGATAAAAATGGGCGCCGTTTTTTTCACAGGTAATAATAATATTTGTTTTACTTCACTTCAATTTGGACAATTTGATCAATTAGAAGTAAAACTTTAAAGGTTTCAGAGATCTACACACATCAGAATTGTTCCCTTACTTTTTTATAAGTATCGTTGTGAAAATTAACTGTAATGTTAAGAATGATTGAATATTCTTATGATCAACTCTTTTATTACAATAATAATAGGTAGTGAGTGGTAAAATTTTATTTTTACATTCTCATTTATATGGTAATATACTTTAGAAAGAAGTATTTAATTTTATAATTTATATAAATTATATAATTCTTTTTTATAGCACATAATGTAAGAAGGTAATGTAATAGAAAGATTACATGTGTTTTCTTGTATATATATAGGTTATTTATATTATTTAAAAATAGGAAGGCAACAAGTATTGACAAACCTACTAGACAACGAGTAGTAAAAATGATTTAATGGTGAAGACAAAGAGTAGGTAAAAGAGAAGATATTAAGACTACTGTCCAACAATTAAAGAAATAAAATAAATATGACATCAAGAAATAATAACGAAGACAAATAAATAATAAATAATCATATTAATATATTTATTTAGAATGTCATATATAAAAATTTGAATAATAGAATCATCGAGCCAATAAAATTTGTGACAATTGGAAATAAATGATCATCATAATTTAGCCAATGCAGGCAATGAGATCAAATGTTCAGTAATTTTTTGAGTAACGTAATAAAGTTTAATTTAACTTCAAAAACCACGTGACCAAAAATGGTAATTCTAGACTATAAATATCAACCAATCAATTTAAACAATGTATTACGTAACACTAAACTCTGCCGTTTTCCTTTTATAATAAATATTTTTATTATACATGTAGTTCCAATCGAATGTTTCTTTTCTACAACAAACTGTTCAAATTTTTTTTTCTAAAAAAAATTTTTTACTTGTAAAAAAATAAAGAAGCTAAATCCAAAAAATTCAAAAAAAAAGGAGAAGAAAGAGAAGAAAGAAAGAGTGGGAGGGAAAAAAAAAAGAAATTCGTAAATTAGTAAAGGTTTTGTATTTTATATTATTTCCGACATTAAGAAAAAAGATATTAATTATTCACAAAATAATATATATGACATTAGAGCAATTTATTAATAAAAAAGTAATAATAATATTTATTAATATATTTTTTAGGATTTAAAATTGAATATTTTTAAAAAAAATTTTCACAGGCAAAACATTTAAAAAAAAATTTATTTTTATTCAAGGTATCTTACTTTATTTTAATAACTTTATTTTTTTATTTTAAAAATAGTTATTAATATATTTATACATTTTTTTAAAAAATTAAATATTGATAATTAAAGAAAAAAGATAAAAATGGGAGGAAAGAATAGTTATGAAATTGATATGGTTGATTCAGAAGATGGTTATGCGGCAACTAGAGGTGATTGTTCAGAAACAGAAAAAGATGAATATTTAAGACGTAGAAATGAGGAAAAAGAAGAATCATCCAGCAGCAGCAGCAGCAGCAGCAGCAACAACAACAACATTATCAACATTAATAGTAATAATAACAATGAAAATATAAAAAAATCTATTAATTCAAATGGTAATAGTAATGGTTGTGGCAACAACATGAAACGCATGAGATCTAATTCTTCATTTGATGGTTATGATGATTTTTATGATGTTTCTGAATTAAGTTCTGTTGATTCTAATGAAGATTCTAGTAGTAGTAGCAGTAATAGTAGTAATAGTAGTGATGATGATGATGATAATGATATTACTAATAGTAATAGTGATGATGATGATGATATTATTAATAGTGATAGTAATGGTAGTGGTAGTGGTAGTAGTGATTATGATGATGATGACGACGATGACGATGATTATGATTATCATCGTTTTAATAGGACAAGTAATAGTAAGAATAATAAAAATAAGAACTCGCAACCAAAAAAACGCGGAAGACCTTCTAAAAGAATTTCATTATCAAAAACAAGTGACGAAGAATATATTCCTAATAAAGATATTAAACAGACAACTAATAACAATAGTAACAATTATTATTATTACAATAATAAGATTAGTGGCAATAATAAAACAAAAGGAAGTAGAAGACCTGGTAGACCGGCAGGTCAAAAGAAACAACAAGAACTACAGCTTGGTAGAAATAAATCTAATAATAGTGCTTCAAAAAAACAAAATTATAAGGACAATTATTATATAAATAGTATAAACAATGACAATAACATGAATTATAGCACTACTGCTAATAATAATAATAATAACAATAATAATAATCAAAGACCTACTAGTAAAAAAAAAGGTATCGACGAAAATGATGTATTAGCAAGAGATAGAGCAGGTCAAACTAATTTACATAAAGCTTGTCAGTCTGGGAATATGGAAAGGACGAAGGATTTAATAAAAAGAGGGTCAGATATAAATGCTCGTGATCATGCAGGTTGGACTTCTCTTCATGAAGCATCTCTTAACGGCCATTTGGAAATTGTATATTATCTTTTAGAAAATGGTGCTGATGCTAATGCTGCATCACTTGATGATTGTGATACTCCACTTCATGACGCGTGCGCTAAAGGTCATTATGATGTTGTATGTGCATTATTAGAATATGGTGCTGATCCCGATAAAGCAAATGCAAAAGAAGAAAAACCTGAGGATCATTCTAGCGAGGAAAGTATCATTAAATTATTAAAAACTCCAGTAGAATATGTAAAAATACCTGAAATCATACATTATAATTCATCACAAAGATACTCACCTTCTTTATATATAACGGGTGAAGGTATTTATTGATCGTTATTATTAATTTTTAACAAATTAAATTATTTAATTGTTTATTTATTACTTTTATTATTTAATTTTTATAAGATTTTGATAGCAGAAGAACGTCATTGATTTCGGGTAAACGTGGTAGACCTAGAATTAAACAAGAAGATATCAAAGATAGTGGTTTATCTAAAAGATCTGAAAATCAAAAAACTACTCGTAGAAGAGTCTCACTCCGAGATAGTAAAATTCGTGAAGGTGATTTACATAATAATGGTGCAAGGGCAATTGTTTCTGCTAACGATGTTCTTAGGATGGATCTTAAAAGTAGAGACTCATCCGGACGTAGTAACCTTCATATTCATGCCAAAAGAGGTAATGCAGAAATGGTTGCAAACATGATTGAGGCAGGTGCTATGATCAACGGAACTGACAATCATGGCCGTACTCCATTACACGAAGCTGCATCAGAGGGTCATAACACAACAATGGAAATATTACTTGCTTTTGGTGCAGATATAAACGTCAAAGATAAAAAATTAAATACACCGCTTCATGATGCTGCTCATAAAGGTCATATCGAAGTTGTAAAAATACTGTTACAAAACAACGCTCAACCTGATGGTAAAAATATTGATGGTAAAACACCTTTGGATTTGGCTAGGCGCAGAAAAGACATTGTTGAGTTGTTATGTGAAGTTCTTGATTTGAATCCAAAAGACTACTTAATTCCAACCAGTTGTAATAATAATAACATTATTATTAGTGATAATAGTATTGGTGGTGTTAGTAGTTGCAATAGTCGCAGTAGTAGTATTAGTGCTAGTAGTAGTAGGAGTAGTAGGAGTAGTAGGAGTAGTAGGAGTAGTAGGAATAATAATTATAATTATAATATTAGTAATTGTAATAATAACAACAATGATAATTATGATGATAAAAGGAAAATTACATCTAAAATAAAATTAGAATCATCTGATTGTGAAGCTATGTTGATAGATGATGATGATGATGATGGCAATAATTCACCACAAGAATTTGATGAACTTGCAATTAGTCCACCGCGAGATTCAATGGAAATTCAAACACCAGATTATTTAAGAATAGAATTTGCAGATAAATATATAGGACCGTTGTACACAGTTCAATTGGATACCACAAGCACCGGATATCCACTTACCACACCTACGATTCCTCCGACAGCAACTTTATTTGTGGTTGATTTACAGGTGGAATTGTTTTTGCAATGGAAAGTAAATTCTTTAACAACATCACAACCAAATCTTACCAGAAGACTCATCACAACAATAGAAAAAGAACGACTCTGGCCATTGTTACGATCCATAGTATGGGCACCACCAAAATCTATTCGTCCTTCTGAAATGGGAATACTGGAAGATGCTAGAAAAATAAAATTTTTAGAATATCAAATGTATTTTGTAAAGGTTAGTATTTAAATATTGTATGTAGCTATGAAATAAATAAATAAATAATCTTCTAATAATACTTGTTTACTTGATTTAAATAGTATGAAGAAGTTCTTAAGTTAATGGAAATTCATTTCAAAAATTCATTTACCAAATCCATTTCAACTATGGCATTGGATATTTCAGACTATCCAAATCTAGATGTAGCTCTTTGTCATCATTATAATGATCGTAACAATAATAATAATCATAATCAAAATCATAATCATCTTTATAATCATCGTCAACTAGATAATAATAATGATGATGAAAAAATTAACAGCAAGAATAATTCAATGGAATTAGACGATTTTTCATCTAAATTACCACTTACACCTACTTCACCAACTACACCACTTCTTAATTCTCAATGGGGAGTTACAACTAATTCTCCGCCTCTTATAACAGCTTCTACTACTACCACCACTGCTTTATTTATAAAAAAGGAACATAATGGAAAATTTAGAGACAATAATAATATTAGCAATACAAAACAATTAAAAGGGTTGAGCTGAGTAATATTATTATTATATCGTATTTATTGACTTTATTATTTATTATTTATTTATTTTCTAATAACAAAATCATCCATTGACAATTCACCCAACATCATAACTTCTAAATTAATTTTTTAAAAAAAAATTTTAATCTAGGATATAAAATATAGTATAAAAAGAAATCAAATAATAACTACCTTCAGTTGTAACAAAATCCTTGACTTTAATTAAATAAAAAGGAAACTTAAAATAAATTTAAAATTAAAAATTTAACAATTAGTGAATTTTAGTTCATCAATTTAATTACTTTCATTATCATCAATTTCAGAAACAACTTTAGATACTGGACCAAGTTCAGAATCTTGTAAACTTTTATATTTAGCATTACCATCTAATATCTTGTTTGAATGTTCAATCAATTACTTCAGATACTTATTCAAGTTCGACATCATTTGTAAACTTTTATATTTGGTAATATAATCATCTAATATTCTGCTTGAATGATCAATTACTTCAGATACTGGCAAGTTCAAAATCATCTTGTAAACTTTTATATTTGGTAATATCGTCATCTAACATTCTGCTTGAATGATATGCCAATGGATGTATACATTTGTCGTGATTTATTTTACAGTTTCATCTAGTGATTGATTCATTCATACGGGCTGAAATCGAACATTTACATAATAATAAAGTGTGATAATTCCGAATTCTGTGAGACAAAATTGTTTTTAAAAATTTTTTATTTTATTTTATTTTCATTTTTAAACCAATAAGCAACTATATATATGTTTTTCCTATGTTATATATGTTTTCCAATCCTATGTAAGTTGTGAGGATCTATCTAATACGAATAAAAAAAAGTGCTAAAAAGATTTTTTTTTTTACAATCCAAAATTTGTTTCCATTTACTATTTTATGAATGAAATCGTTAATATTTGGAGGAGTTTTTATTACTATATAGTTTGTTAATATTAATTATATAAATTGTAAAGGTAAATTAAGTATAGTGATTATTTTTGTATGTCACAACTATAGTCACAACCAGTATCCTTAAAATGAAGATTAATATCTACATGTAAAAAATCATTCCTTGCACTTGATGAAGAAATGTTGCTAACTCCAATTATATTAGAATCATTTGAAATTACAGTGAACTGTATTTTATTTTCTGATAAATATGTTGTTTTACAGCAAACAGAAAATTTTGACAAAATAGTTTGAACTTCATAATTGTTGGGAATTTTATATTTTTTACAGTAAATATTGTATTTTCTGGATAGTATCCAAGAGATAAGATAGTATATGTTTTATATTTCTTTAAGTTGGAAATTAAAGTTGCTTCAATAGTGGGATTGTTAGGATAGTTATGTAAAAAGGTACGAGAGCTTGTAGAAATCATAATATTTTTAAAAGTTATATTTATATGACGTGTAATAGGTAGTGATTGACCATAAACAATGGTAAAATAACAATGATCCCGTTTGTTAAACCTTTCACTGGTATTGAACCAGTGATCAACTAAACCTACTTGGTTTTACGCGTTATTTATTTTTGATGTTAATATAGAATTAAAAATAATAACAATAAGATTATTTAAATGATCAACATCATCTTTAACTTTCTCATTACAAAAAAAAAATTCAATCAGTTTTAAATAAATATATATATAGTTTGAAAAGAAAGAACATTAATTTTTTTTTCAAAATGACTAGTAACGTCCTATTAATTTTTTTATACATAGATTTTTTTTTGTAAGGCGTTTTTACTTCAATAAACAAATAGAACATTCTATTTATAAACAAAGCTTATCAGAGGCAATAAATAGTAATAAAAATAATGAGATAATTTTATTTTTATTTTTTAAAAAAATATAATGGAAAAAATATAAAAAAGAATTGGCTGAATTCTGGTCCTTAATCAACAAAAACAATATTTCAAGAACCTGCACTACATATAAAAAATTAAACTTTTTGGAAAAGCATATAATTCAATATGGGAACCAAATTAATTTAAGGAATAATGTTTTAGAAAACTTGATAGAATTTGTAAAAAAGTATGAATTATCTAACATGATTGAATATAAAATTTGTTTAATTGATGAATATGAAAAGAAATACATTAGAAGAAGTAAAAAAGTTATTTTATTAAATTAATTAGCAAAATTAATTAATTCGCAGATCATTTATCAACCAGGGGGCTTTAATAGAAAATGCGGGGTACATTTACTAATTTAAAAAAGGAAAATAATTGACCATGTTTGTAAAATGGTTATATATACAACGAACAGGAGAGAACGTCCTATATAAGGAATGGATTTTCACAATTGATTTCAATTTTTTTTATACAGTTTAAAATACT